CGGCCTATGCTTAACCATTGCGATTTTCGCGTCCGCGGCACTCTGAAAGGGCCTTTAGTCCGCGACGAAGAGCGTAGGTGTAGCCTCAGTTGCTTTATTGTAACTTGTCTCTTCGGTGTTTTGCTGCATAAAAGCTGTGTTCTCATCACTATCTCTCCTTACTGCGCCTACAAAGTGCTGAAACAAATAAATAAACAGTTGAATAAACAGAAAAGCAAATAAAGTTATTGTTGCAAAATAAACCAATTTTGAGTAGTTCGAAGCAATCATGTCCTGCTCTGATTCGCTGCTCAGCGTTAACATAGATGCCCTCAGAATCGGTGGTCATAGCCCTAGCTAATATTCCTAGTATTCCTAGTTTATTTAGGGAAAACCTCTTTGTACCTAGGCACCTACAAGGTGCTGCAACCTTTTATTGGACGCAGCTTTACACTCCAGTTTACGAATCATATTGCGTTTGGTACATTGAGGTCGAAATACGGTAGTGTTTCACTTTTGCCAACTTTGAATTTTCCTCACTCGCTAAAAACAGCTGTTCTTTTTCTATATTTATTCGACGGCATCAGCGGTGTTAGGCACGTTACCCTATATTTCGTCGTCATATTTTCCACAAAAATTGAGCAAATCCGTAACTAAGCAAGAAAACTCAGAAAAGCCTTTGCATGAAGAACGACCAGGTTGAAAGCATGTTAAAGTAAGCGGCTTTTTTGATTTCTAACTCCTAAGACCGCAATTAGCAGTTCACGTTTTCCGGCGGCTTCACCCTGTAATCCCCCCAAAAAAAAGGGGGGGGGGGGGAGCGGGGCATGCGTAAAAAGGGTCCTGAAATTTTTGGAATTGCTACAAGTTGGAGGAAATGCTGGAAAGAGGTTATAGTTCTGAAAAGGTTCTAATCATCGATTTTAAGAATGGATTTTAAAATTTTAAAGAGCTTTTGTAAAAATTTTACAGCCAAAATTTTTCTGCACAGCCACGTCAAAAAGTAGAGGAGTCTGGTCAGATCACGCTTGTAAGCAGTCCATGAGCACAATCTCTTGACTCAAATCTCAAAGCCGTATAGGATACGGGCAGAGAAAGAGTGCAAGAGTCCAAAGCTGGATAGCTAAGCCTTTTTATGCGATAGTAATGTGGGAAATAACCTATATGTCCACTTCTGGCGGAAAATCAACATGGAACATCTACACTGCCAACCCAAGTACTACCAATTAACCTACGCATTGACTTGGCGATAGGAGCGACACCCGAATGATATTTCTGTGAACGACAAGTAAGTTGCTTTATGGACCGACTGCAATGCACTAATGATATACATAAAACGTTATTAAGTTGTGAATTAATTTAATTATAATTCACAACAGTAGGGTCGTGAGTTGCTAATATCTGCGTTGAACTGTTCGTTTATTACGCGTAGAATGACGCGAAAATTCAGAAGTCAGTTCATATCTAATTTGCACTCATCGAGCTGTAAACTTCAAAGGTACCATATTCCTGGAAGCCACCAGCTGAGCGCAGTCACAGCTGGTGGGTTCCTTTAATAACTGTTGAATTGCGGCATATTACAATGGAGGTTGCAGATTCTTCTACGCGGAGGGCTCCCAAGGCCAAATGTGGGCGGGGCTAGGGCGGGGCCGGAGGAAATTTGGTTGCAAAGTTTAAAAAATGCTTCTGAAATTAGCAATTCAAAATCTGTATTTTCAAACAAATGATAAAATTTAGCTTCAAAACTAACTCTTTTTATCTTTTTTTATGGCCAGCCGTCGAAGTGCTGGTTTTTTGGTACTGCATGTATTTCTTTTGTCAGGCACAGAAGAGAATGGCAGAATAGACGTTTACTCACGAAGCGTTAGTGTTTTTACGAAAGCTTATCAGACTCTCCTAGGACACAAATGGAGTTGGTTTGCACTCTTCCTCGCACTATATCCAATAATCAAATTCGGATCAAGAGAAACGAGAACTGGGAAGTCTATTTTTGGCAAACACAGAATTTTCTTCAAAATATATCTTTTCTGAAGCTATTGTTGTTGAAAATTGTTCGCGTTGTAGCATTATGTAGGGTGGGTCGAAAGTTTTGTCGCCGTTGACTTTGTATGCTCTTATATGGTAATTTTTGCGCGTATAAACCAATGATATTATTTAAAAAGCACTGATCAAGTGCTACTTCTGATAGCATTATGCTAATAAATATTTAGCAGCTTCAGAAAAGAGAAATTTTGAAGAAAATTCTGTGTTTGCCAAAAATAAACTTCGCAGTACTTGTTTTTCTTGGTCCGAATTTGGTTATTGGATAATTCTGCGAGGAAGAGTGCAAGCCGACTCCATATGTGTCCAAAGGAGGATCTGATAAGCTTTCGTAAAAATACTAAGGCTTCGTGAATAAACGTCTATTCTACCGTTTTGCCCCCTCT